GTCAACACGAGCAGTTGTGCACTTGTCTGCGTAATAGGCTGGCGTCCATTCATTTTTACATTCGTTTCATGGCCTGTATATCTATCAGCGCATAAATGCATTCATAGTCGAGGCCGTTTTCTCTTGTCTCCTCGTAACTATGTACATGGCATGCTTTGTACGCGAGAGTATGTTTATCTTGAAATTCCACTTTGCCATCCGAAAGGCCTCATGCTGGTCTGCAGGTTAAACAATTGCCCCTAGGGGGTGCACTATCGAGGCTTATCCCTTAGCCTGTACTCCGTCATCTCCACTTGTTTCCGCACTCTGAAAGCAAAAGGACCTACCTGCCTGGACGAATCAACATGTCGAATGGCCTCGGCCGGGGTGCCCAAGAGGCGTGGATAAGAACCACCTGGTGCCCCCGGCTGTCCTTCTGTCAGTCTATCCACCCATGTGCACCAGGCCTTGTCTGGAGGTTGGCATGACGAGAGGGATATACTAAAGTTTCCGTATGCATGTAGAGGGTGAAGGAGGCCCAGCAAGTGTTAGGAATAGATGGATGTGGATGAGTGAATATGAGCATATAACTGGCAAGTCCGGTGGCCTTCGTTTGGGGGTTGCGCCCACCGTCGAATGCACGTGATTGCGCTTTTATCCAGTCTTTGTAGTTATATCCAACTGGGTGAAATAGTCGCTTCAATGTGTGCTTCGGGCACTCGGACAGAGGGGGGAACTTCTCGAACATCTAAACCCTGCTGTCCCCAAGTCGCCTCCAGTATCTGCCTGCTTGAGGCTTCTGATGCGGCCGAATTTCCAGAGACTATACCTCAGTCTTGTCCCCATCTCCCTTCATTTTCTACTTCCTTTCTTCTCTCCTTTCTGCCCTATTCACTGTGCCACATTGCCCAATCACCTACCAGCACCTCCAGTCGTTCTGGCCTCCTGGGGTACCCTGGAGGTATACTGCCAACTTCCACGACCATGGACAAGTCGAGTCACTTTTCAGGGGTCGCAAAGTCAGCTGACTTATGCTGTGACCAAGGGTGGGGAGGACAGGTCAAGCTTCCGGGTGCAGCTAGGACAAGTATATGACGCGACTTTCTGGGATTAGTGAATGAAATGCCATGCCCTTCAAGAATTGTGCACTCTTGTGCGTGTATATATGTCTGTACATGTGTGTGCATGTGTGTATGCATGTGTTTACGTTCGTTTGGGTATAAGAGGAAAAAGAGAACAAAAACAAAAATCAGGTGAACCAAGATGAAGGAGATGAATTAACGTCTATGTGCTCAAGGATGCTGAGTATCTGAATGCACAAGAAAGCTCACTTCCACTCGAACATTGGTTGCAGAGTAGGAAAATAAATCCAGAGGACCAAAGGAGACATTTTACCTTCTTTTCGCAACTTGGGTCTATTAGAGGAACACAGCTAGTCCGGAGTCCATAGCATGCATGATAATTTCCAGATTCGGACCATGGACTTGATACATTCCCAGACACTTAGCCTTCATCGTAGTCAGCATCGTCAGTGAATCTTGCCATTCTTAGCACCACATTCGACGCACATGTAAAGGCATTTACAATTAGAGCTTTGATAACGAGTTGTAGCTTGGTTCTGAGAGTTGTAAGGCTCACTGACGTCTGGGAATGTAGCAAGTCCATGGTCCGACTTTATAAATTATCATGGATACTATGGACTCCACACTAGCTGCGATCCTCTAGGTCTTCCTGACAATATGACCAAATTGCAAAAACTAGGTCAAACATTTACTATGCAACGAAATGAGACTGCAGCCAAAATAAAGGCCACAGCATCTTGATCTTCGTCTGTACCAAAGGGCTAAAGTTAATGTAACATCGGATAAGAAAGCTACGAATCCA